CCCCCACCCACCGCTCAGGGGTGGGGGCCAGGGGGGAGGACAGTAGGTCCCCCCCCCTTATTGTTTTATTAGGGCCCCACCCACCGCGCAGAGGTGGGGGTCAGGGGGGGAGGGCAGTAGGTCCCCCCCTTATTGTTTTATAAGGGCCCCCACCCACCGTGCAGGAGTGGGGACCAGGGAGGGAGGACAGTAGGTCCCCCCCTTATTGTTTTATTAGGGCCCCCACCCACCGCGCAGGGGTGGGGGCCAGGGGGGGAGGACAGTAGGTCCCCCCCCCTTACTGTTTTATTAGGGCCCCCACCCACCGCTCAGGGGTGGGGCCAGGGAGGGAGGACAGTAGGTCCCCCCCCCCTCATTATCTTCATGGCCCCCAACTGCCGCTCAGGGTGGGGGGGGGAGGACAATAGGTCCGCCCCCCCTTATTTTAATTTATGTCATTTTTTTTCAACAGTGAGCAGCCACAGGCTGCTCACTGTTTTGTAGACATGCCCCTACTCGTGGTATAGCGAGTAGGGGCATTTGGGAGATTTTAATCTCCCTTGTGCTATTATGGGGGTCATATTGACCCCCATAGAGTGAGAGGGGGACCTGGGGGGGCTTATGAAGTGGCGGGGAGCACTGCTCCCTGCCGCTTCTATCTTTACATATTACAAGGAGGGAGCTGCACGCCGGTAGCTCCCTCCTTGTAATAAACTGCATGAACAAACAAACACTGATACTCAGATACACTGATACATAGTGTTTGTTTGTTCGGCTGATTTTTCTATTCATTCATTCGTCTGTCTGATAATTGAATGAATAGATGAAATTCCCGTTCGCATGTCCAGGTGTTTCACTGGGCATGTGCGGGAATCTCACAGCGCCATCTAGTGTGGGCTGATGACGTGTCCCACAGGGACTTCACCAAAGATGGCGGCGCCCTGAATATAGATCGGGGCAGAAAATAAAGATTTAAAAAGAGGTAATCTGGGGGGCTTACGGGTATTTGGGGGTGACTAGTGGGTCAATTGGATGTAGTGGAGGCGGGAGGGGGGGTTAAAAAAAAACGGGATTCGGCATGACAGTGCCGCTTTAATTTAAATTTCCAGGAGTATAAGAACATTTTTTTTTTTTTTTTGTCTTGTATTCCCAGTTCATGTACAGTCCTGTCCTGCCCTGTTCATGTTTCCCTCATGTCTTGTGTACATGTTCTGGGTTCTGCTTTCTATCCTCCTCTGTTTCTGGGTTCTACTAGTTTTGTCTAGTTTGGTGCCTATTCTAGTCTTGTCTTGTTTCTAGTACTGGATACATACCTGCTGCAGAGCCTCCCTATCCAGTTCCTGGGAGGTCTGCATATTATCAAGGTCCTAGCTCTTGGGAACTGCAGTAGCTGCATCAGGGCCCTGGTATGTGGCCGCACAAACTCTGGTGCTCAACACCAAGGGGCGTGTGGTTACCCTGCACCAGGCCCTGATAATCCACTTCCATGCTGAAGACTCATCTTTTCATCGGGCACTCAGGGGTCCCAGTCTCCAAACCGCCACCCGTGACATTCACCTCCTACGAGACCTGCTTCTAGAATCCGATTGGTTCACGCGACTGGACTTGAAGGACGCTTACCTGTCCATCCCCATAGCACACAAAGTTGACCATTTCTCAGGTTCACTTGGGAAGGTCACCCATGCCAGTTCACATGTCTGCAGTTCGGCCTCAGTTCAATCTCATGGTGCTTCACAAAACTACTGTAGCCAGTCATGGCACAACTGAGGGCAAAAGGAATTTGTTGCCTGATCTACCTGGACGACATGTTAATATTCTGCAAAAGTGCATCTAGGCTACGATCTCAAATGAAGTTTATAGTGCAATTTCTGGAATCTTTAGGATTCATAGTAAACAGAGAAAAGTCGTCACTCTCTCCATCTAGAATTGTTCAGTTCCTAGGATTCGAGATAGACTCGAGAACTGAGTATTACGCCTTCCCACTGCGAAGATAGCGGAGATTCGAAAGGAGATACAACGCGTACTCCGAAAGGACACCATTCCTCTTCATCTCTTGGCCAGAGTGGTCGGACTGCTATCGTCCTCCATCCAAGCAATCTTCCCGGGACCACTCCATTATCGGGCCATGCAATTATTGAAGGCTTACTACCTATGGGTGGGACACTGGTACGACCACTGGGTACCAGTGGCCGCAAAGGTGCGTACGGAACTTCGATGGTGGCTACTTCACATGGAAGCCTGGAATGAAAGAGCCATATTCAGAACGACCCCGGATTTCGTCTTGGAATCAGATGCCAGCCTATGGGGCTGGGGAGCCTATTGCACACATGCCTCCCCAGGAGGCCCTTGGTTGGAGGAAGAAAAACTTCTCCATATCAACTGTTTGGAACTGATAGCGGGTTTCTTTGTGATCCGCAGTTTGGCCAAACATATCAGCGGTCCAGTACATAAACCGCTTGGGCGGAGACAGGTCGCAAGACCTGACGAAGGCAACGAGAGACATTTATTATTTCTGTCTTCCCCACAACATTACAATCAAGGTGGAATATCTACCAGGTATCAACAACCTCATGGCGGACTAGTTCTCTCGGCACTGATGAGACAGCAGCAATTGGCACCTAGACAAATAAAATTTCGACATGGTGAGAGCGATCAGAGGACCCCTACACATAGACCTCTTCACATTACAGACGAGCGTCCAACTACCGAGGTACTACAGCTGGCTTCCAGACCCACAGTGTGAAGCGGTGGACGCGTTCCTGCAACCATTGCCCCGGATAGGTGCATATGCTTTCCCACCATTCTCGATGTTGGCGAGGGTTCTCCATCACCTCCGCGTGACCAAGACTTTGATGATACTAATCACTCTGTTATGGAAGAGTCGAGCTTGGCTCCCAGATCTGTTGGCACTAACCCAGGATCATCCACTGGTCTTACCATCATTCCGACTCCTTATAACAAATCCGGAAGGGGTACCCCACCCACTAATCCTACAAGAACATCTGGAATTAGTGGCATGGAGTCTTTCTGGGGAGCCTGGTCTGTCACGGGCCTATCGCAAACGACTAGGGCACCTGGTACCACACAAAGCTACATATCAGCATGGAATACATAGAATCGTTGGTGTATGGAGAGGCACTTTAATCCCTTTACAGCACCTGTTATCGCAGTACTGAACTTTTTATCCACTCTTTTTTCAACATGACAGTCGTATCGTTCTATTATTGTGATACGGTCAGCAAACTCGGCCACACACGTGCCGGTTAACAGTACTCCGATCGGACTGGATACTTTGAAATGCCCATTACTTCAGGGTATCAAACTATCCAGACCCCCATCTCTGAAGTATAACAGGCTGTGGGATGTGGATTTGGCTATTTGTTTTTTTCGTGATTGGCCGAACTAGCAGCCAAACTCACACTGCTTTTATGTCTAGTATCCTTTTGTCGGGTTTCGGATGTTCGACCGTTCGATGTATATGGTTTTTAGGTAACCCCAGATGGCTTTACTTTACAGTATCTCGCAGGACTAAGATGGAGTCGCGTCCTACCTGTTTTTTCCGGTGGTTCCCCATCTCTGCTTTGCTTCGTTATGTAGGGGTTACTACCCCTATTCATTTTTCCCGATCAGGTCAACTTTTGGTCTGTTATACCAAACCGTACAAATCTGTCACTACAACCGCATTGGCTAGATGGGTGCATTGGCCCTTTTCCCTAGAAGGAGTGGAGTCATGCTTCGGGGCTCACTCGGTACGGGGGGGTGGCCGCTTCTCGGGCCTTTGCGGCGGGGGCCTCCTTAGCTGATATTCTATGCACAGCGGGTTGGACCAGGGAAGATACCTTCAGAGTTTTTTATATCTGCCAGACTTCACATCCGTCCTTGTAATTTTTGCCTCAGCGTTAAAAATGCAAAATAAGAAGCCTTCTGTCATGTTATAAAATTGTAGATAATGCTAACGTAGTGTACCTATAATCTTACATTTAATAATGACAGGAGGCGAGTATTTTCCCCCCTTGGGTTTTTTTCCCCTATACTCTTATATGTTATTATTAGCATTGTTTACATTTATTATTTTATTGTGAGTTGCATTGTAAGGACGCTATTTTTGTATTGTATCTATGAGGCGTTATCATATTTATTACAAGTTAATGACTTAGATTGTAGTTATAAAGTATAGATGGTTATATCGATTAACTTATGTTTTAATTATATTACAATTATTAAACCTCTAAAATTATAGTAAACTTTATATGTGGACACAAGTTGTTTTCCACCAGCTTTCACTTGTTTTTGTTCTTTTCAGCGTAATCGCCATTCATGGTTCAGGAATTGGACTAACAGGATCCGTTCACGTTTCGGTCAAAGTTTCAGTCGTTCAAGTTATCTAGAAGTTTCGTTATGTTCCCTAATGTTTCCATAGACTGTTTCGCATCAAAGTAACAGGAAGTAAGATGCCTGTCAAGGATTTATATAGATATTATGCTGGATTCTGATTGGTTTAAAAGTTTTTGATTGATTGACTTGTGCTGCTGGAGGCCTAAGTAAAGAAAATTATGCAAAATACTTGTCTCCTGTCATTATTAAAATTAAGATTATAGGTACACTACATTAGCATAATCTACAATTAACCTGATTGGTGTCAGATACCATCTGTGTAAAATGTTGACATAATTCTCAAACAGTGAAATACTATGAATAGTTTGTTTTTTTGTCAGATTTAAAGTGGTAACCCATTCACTGGATACAAATTCTGTACTCAGCTCCCTTTCCCATTTCAAAATCCCACAAAGTTTTATACACATTTTGCTTATATAAAATTATTCTCTAATCTTAGAAGACAAATTGGATCAATTATCTAGGTCATAGAGTTTATTCAGCTTATTACCGCTCTTAAATTCCCTATTTTTAAAAAAAAGTTTTTTAATTTAAAATACAGGGAGTGCAGAATTATTAGGCAAATGAGTATTTTGACCACATCATCCTCTTTATGCATGTTGTCTTACTCCAAGCTGTATAGGCTCGAAAGCCTACTACCAATTAAGCATATTAGGTGATGTGCATCTCTGTAATGAGAAGGGGTGTGGTCTAATGACATCAACACCCTATATCAGGTGTGCATAATTATTAGGCAACTTCCTTTCCTTTGGCAAAATGGGTCAAAAGAAGGACTTGACAGGCTCAGAAAAGTCAAAAATAGTGAGATATCTTGCAGAGGGATGCAGCACTCTTAAAATTGCAAAGCTTCTGAAGCGTGATCATCGAACAATCAAGCGTTTCATTCAAAATAGTCAACAGGGTCGCAAGAAGCGTGTGGAAAAACCAAGGCGCAAAATAACTGCCCATGAACTGAGAAAAGTCAAGCGTGCAGCTGCCACGATGCCACTTGCCACCAGTTTGGCCATATTTCAGAGCTGCAACATCACTGGAGTGCCCAAAAGCACAAGGTGTGCAATACTCAGAGACATGGCCAAGGTAAGAAAGGCTGAAAGACGACCACCACTGAACAAGACACACAAGCTGAAACGTCAAGACTGGGCCAAGAAATATCTCAAGACTGATTTTTCTAAGGTTTTATGGACTGATGGAATGAGAGTGAGTCTTGATGGGCCAGATGGATGGGCCCGTGGCTGGATTGGTAAAGGGCAGAGAGCTCCAGTCCGACTCAGGCGCCAGCAAGGTGGAGGTGGAGTACTGGTTTGGGCTGGTATCATCAAAGATGAGCTTGTGGGGCCTTTTCGGGTTGAGGATGGAGTCAAGCTCAACTCCCAGTCCTACTGCCAGTTCCTGGAAGACATCTTCTTCAAGCAGTGGTACAGGAAGAAGTCTGCATCCTTCAAGAAAACATGATTTTCATGCAGGACAATGCTCCATCACACGCGTCCAAGTACTCCACAGCGTGGCTGGCAAGAAAGGGTATAAAAGAAGAAAATCTAATGACATGGCCTCCTTGTTCACCTGATCTGAACCCCATTGAGAACCTGTGGTCCATCATCAAATGTGAGATTTACAAGGAGGGAAAACAGTACACCTCTCTGAACAGTGTCTGGGAGGCTGTGGTTGCTGCTGCACGCAATGTTGATGGTGAACAGATCAAAACACTGACAGAATCCATGGATGGCAGGCTTTTGAGTGTCCTTGCAAAGAAAGGTGGCTATATTGGTCACTGATTTGTTTTTGTTTTGTTTTTGAATGTCAGAAATGTATATTTGTGAATGTTGAGATGTTATATTGGTTTCACTGGTAATAATAAATAATTGAAATGGGTATATATTTGTTTTTTGTTAAGTTGCCTAATAATTATGCACAGTAATAGT